AGGCAATCTTAATTCTCGACGTTACATTTACGGTCAGGGCCTAACAAAGATTACCTGATGAGCCCCTAATCAGGCGTTAGGGCATACTTATTAGGTCCCTATCAGAGCCTGTTCAAAATTTCTGCTCGAGTATGTTTGAAGTTTTCCATGTCAGGCTAATGTTGACTCTTACTACTTACGATTTATCAACGATTGATTCGTTGAAGGCTATTTAAACCTAAAAATTGCTTCATATGGATTTTGGAGGTGGCGGAATTCAGATCTAATGCTAGATTTTCGAAATTCAAAATGGCGGCTCCAATATGGCGGATCAAAAGTAGAAAGTAGATGGATTTTTATGAAAATGAGTATCCTGAGATTTTTGAACTCGCTGAATCCAAATATGATATCAGAATTTTAAAATTCAATATGGCGGACCAAAAAAATTAATCTCTTGTTTATTATTCGTGTTCCTTCGCATAGCAAATAACACTATTGCGCGTCTTATAGTAGGCGAAATCCGAAGCAACGGTTAAAACTCAATGATTGCTGATACACCATATTCGGCCATTTCGTATTTTAGAAATCTAATATTAAAGTGAAATTGAAAATTTCAGAAACTTTTAGAACTAGAATTTTACATATTAAGTGAAAGAACTAAACATTAATTTTTTTCGGTCCGTCATACTGAATTTTAAAATTCTGATATATTTGGATTCAGTGAGTTCAAAAATTTCAGGATACTCATTTTCATAAAAATCCATCTACTTTCTACTTTTGATCCGCCATATTGGAGCTGCCATTTTGAATTTCGAAAATCTAGCATTAGATTTGAACTCCGCGACCCTCCCCATATGAAGCAATTTTCACGTTTAAATATCTTAGCCTTCAATGAATTAATCGTTGATAAATCGTAAGTAGTAAGAATCAACATTAGCCTGACATGGAAAACTTCAAACATGATTTTCCCTGCCTATAAAATAGTTGAATTTGGTATTGGCCGATAGGTTTCATCATACTCTAAATAAATTACCAACTTGAAAGGTTTCCCCTTCAGGGCAGAAACCCCCCTACTATACCGTGGGCCTCCTTTAGTTATAAGACGTACTTCAGTTAGCAGTCATAGCAACACGTATTGCAACAATTCGTTGTAGTATGACAACTATTTATATGTAGAAGACACAATTTTTGCTGTCGTTGCAAATACCTTAGCTGCAGTAGTTAAAGCTATTGCTATATCTAAAGTATACCCAGTAGCTAA